ATGATTATACATCCAGTTTATGCACTTTCAGATAAACCAGACAGTGTGTAAAATCAATGCGGCAGCAATTAAAGAACTGAGCTGCTGCGTTCTGTCATTATCAGATTTACTGTGGCGAGAACTCACAACTTGCTGCGAGTGCAACAAGATAATCATATAATGATAAAATTTAATAATGATTTTCTCAAATTGTTGATTTAAAGTTGTCCATGTAAAATATAAATATAAGTCTGAAGATTGTTTCATGGCCTCCTGAGTACACTACAGCCACTATGATTTATAAAAGATGTTCTCTAGCGATAGGGGCGCCCTAGGAAAACTTGGGCTGGGGTGAACTAAGTATGAGGTTTATAACCTACACTGCATTCTTTTATCATATCAATAAATACAAAAAGATAATAAAACTAGTATCAAATAACAGGAAACAGCTGCTTTAAATTGCATCAAAATTCATTTGTAAAGCAACGAAAAATCTCTGGAGACAAACAGTTGTTTCCCATCTTTGAACCAAATTTCAGAATTTCTTCTAGATGCGAAACCTGTACCAGGTGCATTATCTAACTACTAATTCCATTAATTTTCACCACAACGACAAGAGTTAGAAGTAGTTAGAGTGACAGTTAGATTCGATATGTCTCGCCATCCGACTCATCCCTAGACTGGTTTATGTGCGGTTTATTCAGGATGGAACATTACCATGGAAGGTTTATCCCATAATATTAGGCTATTCAGGCTCAGGACTATTGATACTACGTTACATGCTGAGTCCACATTGTAGATCTTAGCTTGAACTGTCAGAAATATAACAGCCAATATCACTGTTGATGGAAATGAAATAGATAATATGGAAATGGTTCGGCTTAGGAACAGACCTCAGTTACTCACTCTCAGTCAACGAAGCAAAAAATTATTAAATAATCTCAGTTCATTTTACTTGTTGACTTTTCCTCCCATAACAATAAGTCGAGCACTCAAGCAGATATCAAAGATGGCGCAATGAATGCAAACTTTTCATCTCAAATGTAGAGCCCTCTGTTTAAAATAAATACTTTGAATATTAACAAGGAAATCAATGAGTAAATATCTATAATCATAGCAATCATAAACATGATAATGTTTGTACTATAGATGACCGTGGGATTATTAATTACCAGCTTTGAACAAGGTATGCAAAAGAAAATTTGTGTACTGTTTCTCTCCAAAGTCAAAACGTAAACCCTGTATCCTGTACATAGTTGAAAACAGCTTATTGGCCAAGTGTCTAATTCTCTGTATAATGAATAGAATTAGACGACCATGACTGTGAATATCCTGAGATGGCATCTGTCTTGAAGACTACAAATTGGGCTTAATTTTAATGTTAAGCGAATTTATCCGCGTTGGACCAGAGTCTGATTAAATGACTGAGAATGTTTCCTGACTATGATGGGTCACATGAGGTACATATTTACTATTTCTAGAAATAGCACTATGTACTCTTTGACCATGACCTTATGTTAAGACCACATGATTTGAAACTTATACAAATAGTACATAATATACAATACAGCAAAGAGAATTAAAAATAAACGAAATTATGAGGCATTATATGTTGTGTAAAAGTCGTAGATATTGCAATATTACAATAACAGCTTAACAGTTGCTTAAGAAACTAAGGAAACACAAATTTTTGTAAAATTTGTAGCTTACCCTAACAAATGATAACACTGCCTCGGCATTCATCACAACTTATATAATGCTCGAGCAGTGAAAACAGGCGTATTGAATATCGACTAGTTCCTTAGTTGGCACGCTGCATGCGACTAAACTACTGTTTGTCTCTATTCTGCAAATAGGTTGGAAAGCTGTGAGCAATCAAAGCTAATAGCATTTAGCAGCTCATATACGAGTCAAAAAATGTCAGAATATATTTAAATGATAAAAAATTCAGCATTGTTGGTCTGACTACCCTGTCTAATCACCGGTCATTATCTTTTAAATGATAGTCGTGCTCTGTCTCATGGAGCTAAGTTTAAGCTTGTCGTTAGTGCATCGTTATTATAAACTATTGATCCAGCCAGGGACAACTTATAGAGACAAACGGTCATCGTTTTTTAGATATTCAATAAAAAACAAAAATAAAACTCTCAATTTACCGGTCTGATAACCTTGCCGACGTAAGAAACTATTCAGAGTCACTAGCGAGTAACGAGTCACCGTCAGCATGTTGAGGCCGGAGGACTGCCACTAAAGAACAGATAATTGTTTTACAGATACAGAGATAAACCTTAAATACAGTCTTTTAAAGCGGCGGACAGGAATCACAAAATCCCCACTTTTGGTGCACTGGACGTACGTGCCTCAGCTCCCACTATATGGCTGATACCGGCCCAGCAAGCTAATCAAATTACAGAGTTTGATCAAGTAGGTCTCCGTTCTCGGGTGATCTTTTAAGCTTTTCCCGTGAGACAGAGATCTAGAGTTTCGTCAATAAAGTTATTGGGAAGCTTGTATTGAGGTATCTGACATAGTGTTGTCCCGTAAGCAGATCGTAGTTTGTTTGCTCCAATTTATTAAATAAGAATTTCTGGGACCTGGAGGCGATCCAGGACTTAAACCGGTGGACCCTATTATTTGGAGCATCCTCATAAGGGATCGTTGATAACGTTAGTCGAACCACCTACTCCGGCGGTTAGGTGGCTTACATAATATGTGAAATATACAGGGTGGGCCAAAAGTCAGTGTGCAAACGTTGGGTCTTATACCTCCGCCGTGTTTTATATTTGAGAGCTGTTGCTTTGCAGATGGCATACTGTACTTACTGGTTCGAGGATTCCGTCGTCAAAATTTGAAAATTCGAATATTTTAGACCACGCCCATTCAATATTAAAACACCTATATTGTTTTCTCTGAACATGCTGAACGCCTAATTTTTTTCAGAGACGGTAGATTATCAAATGTTGCATATGATCTGAAAACATGAGGCAAAACGGATTAGAAATGACGAAGTTATCAAGCATTTTGTGTATCTCGTTAACAAAATTGACTGGGTGATTATGTGACACCGTGACACGACACCTTAATTGGGCACCCTTAACAATTCCCATAATGTTTAACGGGGCAGTTAACGGGGTCACCTTATCACGTGATTAGGTAGACCAATCACCTGATCACACGTAATGAATAAACTCGTTATGCTTCATATCTCGGTCATATGAGAAGCTACAGTTCTAATTCTTTCAGGACAAACGTAATTCGAATGGCCAAACACAATTCAATAACATTTAGCTTGATCCGACTATCCAAACTATCAAATAAATGTGAAAATGAACCTCCATTTGAAAAAAATGAACGCGAATATTTTTCGAGTTGACAAATTCCTCGAACCAGTGGTGGTACTAAGTCATACCAGAAGGAAGTATTTCAATTGGGCACTCAGTGACTGAGCTATTAAGGCCAACGTTTGCACACTGACTTTTGGCCCACCCTGTATATTTCAGAAAAATATCATAAAATCGCTTTATTACAAATACTCAATACAATAGATCTTTTATTATAGAAAAGAACGGGGGCAGAACGTCTTAGGCTCAAGTTTTACCCGCACATACATTTTCAATAAAACATTTTCAATAAACCATGTAAAAACTACAAATGAAAACTTATGTTCGAGATTAAGGTCGGTATTCATCATTGCACTGTGATAAGTATCATTATGCCCTGAAGAGTGAAGCAACAACTTAATGATAAACTAACACAGGGGAACGAAAATTTTTGTACTCAAACAACTAATATTATGGACTCGGTGATCTTGGTATTTTGTTCATTATAATTACTCGTTCTCTGAGAGGATAGGGATAATGAATAATTAGTTATAACAATAACAGAGGACTTGCTTAGTTTCTTTTCCAACAAATTTCTTCAAAACTAAATGAATTAGGAGAAAAATAATTGACCCAAAGTAAGACGAGGAATTGGTTTAGCTGCTTGAGTGGAATACCGAATATGGTTGAACTCGTATTTAACTGGACCGGTCACGTCCGGTAATTACTATTATTAGCTACTGAGAATCTAAGATGATTAGGTCTGAGTATTCGGGAGATAGGAGAACAGACTACAGAGCGATAACTTTCAATAGAGATTAAAAACGGGGAGATGGGGCCATTTTCAATGATACCATTACCATCTCAGTGACCAATTTAGAGAGGCAAAATTATAAAAGTACCTGAGCCGAGCAGGTGTCATAGGAATTATAAATATCGGAAGATGGAAGACATTATTATCGCATTCTATCAACAATCATCATGCCTCCCTCTAAATTCATCGCTGATCACTGAGGAGGTCAGATCACTTATTTCCACCAAATCTGACAGCCGGTAGCATTCGCGATGGTCAGTCTGGTTTGATAGCAGGTTCAGTGTTAATGGTAGCAAATTATAGTAATGTAGCAAAATAGGAGCCAAGGTATGTGGCGCGGTCGGCTGAGTCATAATTTCCTTACGCAGTGCATAAGTTCAGGTACACAATCAAACAATAAACAATAAACATGAGATGGTTCGAATAAAGATAGTACATTTACAGACCTAAAAATATAACTGTAGCATCTAATCACATCATCCTTGGCAGTACTAATATAAGGTCTAAGTCCTGGAAAAACAAAAGGCCGGTAAAACTTTCACCGGTAAACTATGTGTTGTGGGATGCCTGACGAATAGAAAGGGTTTTGATATAACGTAATTTTAATAATCTGTTTTCGCTCTTTTGAGTGGGTCGATCATATAATGATTGATGTTTTGGGACAAAGTGAGAGTCTCTACTCAGTTTTTCAAACAAATAGCTGTCCATGACAAAGGCGTGGGCCGAAACGTCGACAACTATTTGTTTGAAAAACTGAGTGGAGACTCTCAGATTTTAGATAACTTAATCCTTCATGCAGGACTCATAAACTATTTGGGATATTGTTTTACTAACGAAGTGTTAGATTACAGTGTTATATAATATAAGTTATAACGTAATTCTCTCAGGCAGATAAGAAGGGTGTAACACCACTGGTACCTGACTGTACTTCTACTCCCGCTGCTATGTTGACCAGGCAGGCAACCATCGATCACAACCAGACTCCAACACTGCCCCCCATGGACATGCCCAGGATTGAACGTGAGTTTTATAATGAGTTGCACTATTTAAAAAAAGTGATTTCTTAGGTATCTGGGTGGGATTGATTCTATCAAGTTTTTCTTTCAAGTTATGGCTGCAGGTCTTACAATAGAGACACAGACAGAGCCCCTAGAAGTTGAGTTTGTAAAGCCTGCTCCCCCTCCGCCAGCCAAACACGAGGCCCATATAAAACAAGTACAGCTGCAAGGTCAGTAAAGTTTCTATCTAGGCGTTAATTTTGTATATGATAGAAATATTTTATATTAGAGTAGCAATATTTTATATCAGAGTATAAAATTGCGATCGTTTTTTAATCGTTTTATGTGTAAAAACGTATGGTGTTAAATACCGTTCAACAAGTACGAATGGAAATGTTGTTGTTAATATTTTGCTGCAAAAATGCGATTTTCAGGTCATCATATTGTACCAGATGTTACGTACTCTGTTTTTGTTGTTGACGAAAAATATTTAGTAGACTAAAAGCTGTGAACTGTAAAGTGTTGAAGAAAAGAAAATATCTCAAAAATTACGTTTAATTCACGTCTTTATTAGATGTGAACAAACCCTATCACCTCAGAAGAATCAAAGATCCCGAGCCCCAGGCAGCCACTACAACGGAGACCCCAATACCAGCGCGAGAACGTTCGAGATAACGCTCCCCGTGAGACGTACCGTACCCACGTACGTGACCCAGCTGGAAGGAGGGTCAGGGAGAGCCCTCGTCCAGTCCCCAGTAGAGATCACCGGGCCAGTCTACCCAGTAAATCTACTCCTCTACTCAATAAACCTGCTGGAACTAAGCCCTTGTCTAAACCTGTCTTGCAGAAACCGAGAGTGGACATCAAGTTAGCCAATGAGAAGATTGGTTCTGCTTTGGCCGGAGATAAGGTATGTACATTTCGCTGTATAGGTTTTAAGTGTTAATAGTTATTATTTTTATCAAGCCTGGTTAGAAAGCAAACGCCGCTTGTCGTCTAAATCTGGTAGAGCCTGATAAAATTTGTGGACCATAGTCTATTAAAGTATTTTCCATTTTCCCCAGACGAAAGCAGAGGAAGTAAGAACTGAACAGCAAGCCGCTATAGAGGACCTGATCAAGGCAGAACAGATCAGCACCGTTGATAAACCCGTAACCTTCCAAGATGAAGATGTAAGTCTTCGTGTGTTTAGTCCTTCCGTCTGGGATGGGGATCGACGATTATCCGATAATTTTATTAACATCCAAAGAATATGAGTATCATTATATCTAGCCTTATTTGAACTGATAAAACTGCGAGGCCGAGGGGCCTCAATTTTGGATATTTTTAAAGAACTGCAATTGTACAAGTCTTCAGTTACAAATTTTGCTGCTTGATAAACGCTCAATTAATCAGAATTATGAACGAATCCTACTGCACGGATTAAAGTAACACCAGCGCTGCTATAATTATCAACACCAGCGCAGCGCTGCTGAAATTAACGGCAAACCTCTGTTGAGTAACAGAAATCAGTCCAGTTTTTCCCGGTTAACGATGCATATTATCTATTTATCTACTAGCTCCACGAATCATTACACAATTTCTACTGTTTTGGGCATTTAATATCCTAACGATAATCGCATACACACAACCTCAACGCATTGTGAGAGATTATAAATAAATTCCTCCAAATTATGGTTGAACACAATTCAATTTCAAGCAGACCTAATTATGGGCAGGAAGATTCTTTGTGACCAATACCACATAATTTATTACATTTTACTAACTGTTATTTCAGAAGGAAAACAACCGAAACGTCCAACCGACTACGATTAACAACCAGAACGTCAAGGTAGACAACCAGAAGAAGGAAAACGAGAACATCACAAAAGTAGTTGAGAACGCGGGGGAACAGATCCTACAGACAATGGTCAATGAGGCTCTAGTGTGCGAGTTTAGCCCGGCTAACTAGCTTGCTAGTTACAATTGGAAGCTATTATAAGACTAAGTTAAACTGTAGTATTTGCCGTTAAACGGTTATTTAAGTAATATTATGTTGTACAACTTCTTTACCAAGTTGTAATTGTAAAGACCACTATTCTTGTTAGATTTTCGACGTGGTATTTTTCATTTTTCACTATTTTTCATGCGTGTGAGTCGTGTCACATTACACCATTATTTTTAAGTCCTATAAGTTTAGAGCTATAAAAGTTTAAGAGTATAACGTTTAACGTATCGTTAGATTTGATTCAAGTTTAAATTCAGAGTACCAATTACATTTATGTAGTACTAAATTAGTCAGAAAACCCTAACGTTACATTAAAGATCCGGTTTGCAGATTAATAACGAAGGTGAACACTGAACGCCTTGCGACTTAAATTGGACCAATTGTAAAATGTCGAAGTTTTCGTTTCTAAAGAAATATCACAAATATGCATTACATATGAACGTAATTTAATACAATAAAACCGCGATTTTTAGGAATCTCGATTAATTAGAAGTTTTCAATAAATTTGATTCATCTAAATTAGTGAAAACTCGTGCAAATTGCGGTTTGATTGTTTTTTACATCTAAATTATTATTGTTATCATATTTAAATTATTAATATTACTTCGCTAGTTGGTATTGACTCTTGAGTCTAAACGGCTACTTTCTAAAGAATAAATTTCTGTGATCCTTATCAACAGGTTATAGAACTGTTATATATGTGTTTTTGTCAATAATTTATTCACGGCGAAACCACGAACTCCGAGACTGGTCCAGGATTTGATAGTATCATCAAGTAAAAATTTAAAATTTGCTTACGATTTCGTACATCAAATTTTTTTCCGACCTAATTTTATTTTTAAATTTTCCGGCTATCGTATGTAGTTAAAATGGTCCGGAGTTCGAAGTTGACCTGTAGTTTCTAATTCTATTTGAAATTTATGTTCAAGTTAAATTTTAATGTTTATGACGTTTTGAGGAGGTTTTAATGGTCAATAAAGAATTGAGTGTAACAATTTTTATAGTTTCTTGTTAAATCAATGGTATTGTAGGACGTAGAAATGGTTTGTGTAATTTATTTAAATTGTAGCGTTCCAAAATTATGTATTATATTTCTATTTGCTATTTGTTGTCAGAGAAATAGGAGACTTTTTAGCTTGTATTAAAAACCTGGAATTCTAGAAGGGGTAGACGGTTTTCTAGGTGGCAGCCATTCTCAGAGCTCAACAATAGATCATTAATGAGTCCAGTTAGTCACATGCTGGAGTGCTATGTCGTGTTGTAAATTGTAAATAACGTGGTCGTTTTTAAAAGCTGAGTAATGAGTGATAGTACCTTTTTGCCACCCAGTTGTGCCATATTCCTTGGGAAAATTGCTAATGTTTTAAACTAGTCAAAACATTGCAAGTGCTTATTTCCTTAAAAGGGGCCGGTCTGACTGCGATTTCTAAAATGTTGGATGGAATCACGATAGGAAATATGTTGTTTTGCAAAACACGATAGAAAAATGAGTACTACTGCATTGTTTTAACTGTTAGCAAATACAATTTGAATCGTCAATAGAAAATCTGGAATGCTGGAGAAAAAAGAACAATTTTAGACATGATTACTTCTTATCATAAGTATGCATCTTGAATCATCATTGGTAGAATCTGTTTCAGATAGATGGAAACAATTGACCATTGATTGAAGTTGTCAAATCAAATTGTTACTGGGAAATAATCTTTAACAAAGATAATGCTGCAACTGTACGACCACGGTTTGTGGCATACAGTGCAGATTGTTCATGTTGCCAGCCGTATATTAGTACTTCTTGCTCAGTATTGTAAAATGTTAACTCTTGGACCGTACACAAAAACATTTCTTTGTCCTTATGCCAATTATAAATCAAGAGGCTTGCATATAATGAACATATTGACACGGGTGCAGAGTTGAGTCTGTACGGAACCTAGTAGTTTCAGATCCTTGTTTAACTTGCCGTACAGCAAGGTCATCCACTACTTTAGCCCGGCGAGGCACATAACTCCCTCTACAACTCCATGACAAATGTTTCATATATACTAGCCGAGTTCACAAGTTATATCCTTGTGTTTGAGAAGAGCTCGTTAGAACTGCTTCCTTTCCCTTCAGTATCCCACAGTCTCTCGAGTTTCGTAACTGCCAGAGAACTCTCTTAAACAATTACTAGACTCGGTGATTATAAATCAAGAGGCTTGCATATAATGAACATATTGACACGGGTGCAGAGTTGAGTCTGTACGGAACCTAGTAGTTTCAGATAGTTATATCAATATTTATTGATTATTGATTAATTTAATTAAAATGTAACCTTCGGACTTGATTGTTGAATGTTGATACAAATTATACTGTATACTAGGAGCGCTCTATATCTCCTGCGAAAGCACACCTGCAATTTGATACGTTACGTATGGAATCAAATTGCTTTATTTTGCACTGAGTTAACGCGATTAGTCCAAAATTGAACGAGGAATTGTTTAAGATCACTTTCAAGGCACCTCGACAAAAGCTACTCACGATATTGTGCTTTTTACAGAGAAATAAGAAAATAGCATTTTTGAGCTTCTTTGTTGTTATTCTCTTTCAAGACTAAAAGCATTCCAATTGCAATTGATTTATAATTATAAGTGCATAAATTGATTCTAAATACATTGCGAAAGATTTCAGATTTGATCTCAATTCATGAAGTTATAGTTTGAAAGAAATTATTTGGGGAGTGTGCTTTCGCGGGAGATATGAACTGAGCCTACAACATACAAACTAAGTCATAAGTGAAACTCGAGAAACGTATATGGTTAAAAACATTTTTGTTCTCTAGTCCACTAATTCTAATTCACGATATAAGTATAACGATATATAGTAACACATAACAGATAAGTATGACTATAAGTATAACAGCTGATGCAGGCTCGAGCCACTTTGGATGAGGCGGCGAGTTTGAGTTTCATGCAGGTGGCGCATCCAGCATCATCATCACATTCCTACTGACTTTACTGTTTACAGACGGTTATCTTTCATGAGGACAAGATTATACCGAAATATACGATTTAAACTCATTAACCGTCTCTAATTTTGAATTTCCGGACTGGATTCGTGGATTACTCAAACTGAATTATCTATTGATTTACCATATGTTTGCCGTAAAGTCATAATACTGATTGCAGGGCCTGCATCCAGCATCGAACAACAAACAAATTTAATGTCGCCACCTCACACCTCTTGATATTCACCTGTTATACACTTGCAGCGGCTACGTTATTGTCACTGACAATGTCAGACGCTGCCATCAGCCATGCCTGACCCATCTAATCGGCATCATCTCATCGTAAGAGGGGTGCATGCAAAGCTGTTGGAATCGAAACTTGCACCATCAACCATGTCTAATTTGCAATTTGACGTCAGACTTGATTGACGATTCCAATCCTTCAAATTGTTCCTCTAGTACTAGCCTGTCACGTGACCAAAACGGTTTTTTGCCCATAACTCTCCAGGGAAGCATTTTTACCCTACGTCATGGGGGGTGATTCGGAATCAGCGTCCAAAAATACACCGATTGAGATCAATTTCATACACAAAGGGCCTTTTCACAAGAATTTTCTTAAAATTTGGGCGAGCGATTTAGTAGGAGTGAGAGTTTGAACGATACAGGGGGAGCCGCGCACTCGTGCGCGGCGGGTCATACAACGTATGACAAAGTTGACACACGTTGCAACCCAATTTTTCTTACTGGGCCGCGCTCAGACTGTCATTCCGCCTAATCTCTATATATGTTTGTGAACATGATAGCCTGAGGTCCCCAGGTAACCCTTTTTCGCGCTCTAAGAAAAGATAAAAGGTATAAACTAGGTAGTGCGCCATCGACAGTGAGCCGCGCGTGCCGACTGTAGGATGGTTTTTTAGCGCTAATTTCGGCCAGCACAATTTTCTTCAAACAAATAGATATTAAGTATCCTTCCCGACCTCCGATTGCAACAAAAATTGGTAAGCTTACTCATAGACTTACAAGGAAAGTGTCCGAAAAGTTTAAAGCTTATCCAACCATCAGACATTATGTTACAGCTAAAAGCAGCGTATTTTGCCCCATTTTTATCACTATATCAACTCCGATATCCACCAAATTTTTCGGACAGTTGTGAAAGCCCTATTGGAAGGTCGTCGCCAATTTTCAGAAGGATCTCATGCAAGGAACTGAAGATATATTTTGATTGACGATATCAATCCGTCGAGATCGTTGCTCTGCGAAGCAGAGCAACGATCGTCGAAGCAAGAATGCTAGTTCGCGCGGCGCGTCGAAGCGGCGAAGTCCTCCAAGATATATCCAAATAATACGACAAAAATCAACGAATTTGGTCAAATTTGGTCAAATTACGCGACTTTTACAGCTAATTTTGCTCCAAAAGCCGCGCACCATCAGATATGGCACCTAGGCAAAACTCACTGATCTTTCCAAAAAGGTATGACAAATTTGGTATTGTGAAATTTCTCACAGTCTCTAGAAAACAATGGTACAAAAATTTTTTAAATCCGAGCAAGTATATTTTTATGATGCACCCCCTATATAAACAATAAAACGTGTAGCAACAAGCAAGGTATGAGTTGGCACAACATTTTTTTCCCCGATTTTGATAACAACTAAATTTGGTACCAAAATTTGTTTAAAAATGTAAATAATACATAATACAAATTTACTGTGCAGCAATTTTTGCTAAAAACCAGGCTGTTAAATTTGCCAAAATTTCGTCAAAAAGTACGGCGTATTTAACATTTAAAGTTTTCAAAATACGCGAATTATTCGCCAATTCACAATTACAACTTCAAGTTTTAATTTTTAGGGCTGTTTAATTCGCCAAAACATGCGGTAAAAATGCGGCTGTGGAATGTGGGAACGCGCAGCATTCTCGAGTCCTATTCTATAATTTAGTTGGATATGTGAATGGTGAAATTGAATTGCATTGTGACGTTATAATTGGTTATACTTCAAATCTTAAACTTACAAATTTCGACAAGTAGATCACTAGACCATATAGACGGTCGAGGAAATTAAATGATTTCAAGTTTATTAAGAATAAGATTAAGAGAAGTTCAAAGTTAGTTTACTCCATAACGTCTTCGGGTATGAGCTAAATTTTGACTCGTCTAAATTTTTTCGAAGTAGCGCGCGCCGCTTTCTTCTCGAAGTAGCGTCGTGATTTCCTGTTCCCGTATTTGGTATATTTTTTAAATGCAGCAATTTTCAGAAAAAATTCGTATGCGAATTTAATTCGAATAATACATTTAGTGCGAATATAACAGCATTGGCTAAAAGTAAAAATGCCTCACGACGCCTTCGGCGGCGCACGCTTCGCGCGCGAAAAGTGGCATGCAACGTATGTCAACACGACGCTTGATTTGCTTTGTAGGTTTATAACCTATATACTAAAGGGCAAGACGCGCGCCTAGTTGGACTCGTCGAGGCGGTTTTGTTGGGTTTGACATTTGACGTTTTTGTCTATATAATAAGTATAACTATTTGGAACAAATATTTTACGAGTATCACCCGTTAACCTTTTTACACACTTGCAGTTGCAATGCACAAAAGGCCCAAATACAGCTCGACAGCTCGACTTTATCGTGCTGCACGGTGAATTTGTTAACGGGTGATACTTGTAAAATATTTGTTCCAAGTCAACGAGTCCAACTCGGCGCGCGTCCTGGTAGGTTATATAAAACCTACAATGAATTTGTACTATTCATACTTATAAAAAATATATATAGTATGTGTATGTATAAACTTAAAGTATATATATATAAAGTATATATAGAATTGAGAATATAAATAGAGGCAACTTTTGGTACCAAATTTATCAAAATTGGAGATACAATTTTTGTGCCAACTCATGGCGCTTATTTGTTATTACATACTGAAACTAAAGCGTCTTCTTTGACATTGATACTTATTAAATACAATATTTGATAAATATCACTTATCAGTAAGACATATTTTAGTTTATTATAAATATATATTATTATCGCCGCGTGAGAAAAGTGCGCTAACCATTGGCATTACTTGCTCTACCCAGACCCCTCTCGCTTGCAGTAGCGCGCGACTGCCGAAGGCGGCAAAGATTTTATTCTACTTCATAC